TGTAAAATGGTCCGATTTGCTCAGCAACAGCTCCAATCCAATAAAAACAGGGATTTTAAAGCAAAACAATAGCTTCTATCATCATAAAACCTGATGTCAGAAGAAGTCCTCCAGTCTTAAACGCACTGTTTACTGCAAGAGCACTTAAAGCAATAACACTGAGGTGGAAATGGATTCAGGGCAGGTATTGATTCCGTCTGGGTTCATCCGGCTGTGGTTTGGCCTTCTTTACTCTCGTCTCTCACACAGAAGCAGTTGGAGACAACGACCCCCCATCGGATCGGGACCAGGACCAGGACCAGGACCAGGATCTACTAAAGCAGGTCCTGGACCAAGTGAGGGCGACTCAGCGGGATCTCGGTGCCAAAGCAAAGCCGGGACGCTTCCGAAAGCTGGCCAACACCATAGACAACGCGTTTTTTGTCCTACACCTGATCATGATTGTCGCTTTTATGGTATACATGTTAATGTTGTGGAAAAATGCACTGATACGATAAAGCAGGGCACAAATCACCTGGTGGGCCAGGTGGAAAATACACAACAAGCTTATTCTAATCAGGTTTTGTTAATGTTTTTATCTTTTTTGCTATGCTGGAATTATTTTGGGATATTATCCCATATTTAAAAGTCTGGACGCATTATTTAGAGTTAATTTTGACTGGAAAAACTTACATTAATGACAGTAACAGAGTTTTATTATGATTATTTTCAGCATACTGTAATGTATTGATAGATTCGGTTCTTTAGTTGGAAGCCTGAGAATAAACCAGAGTAGATCAAGAGTACAAATATGACATTTATTGGTCACAAGCAAAGTATATCAGCGCTGGGCTCTCACAGACAAAGTTCCCGGAGGATCTCAGTTGGCAAGAGCCTCGATTCCCGGATGCAATGGGTAGTTATCCTCTGGGCCGGGCCTCGAAGGGGGAAGACGGTTGGGCGTAGCCGAGCATCATTGGCCAGTTAGTTTGGTCATGATCAGGCCAGAGGCTCTTTGTTCATGCAGGTTTCGTGGGAATGTGATAAGAAAATGTGTGTGTGTATGTTGACCTTGAAGACGTGTATCTATTGTAACAGAGACATGGGGATGAGGAGGCACAGCCAGAGAGTTTAACCCAAAAGTAGAAATATAAATGGAATAATATGAATCTAAAAGGAATAATACAATCAGTCATTTACATGAATTAAGTTATAGCATGTTATGCTAAAGTAAGTAATTATAGCCCAATTCTAACAGTATATTGCAATATTTTTGTAATTTCTTCAAATATTACATTTGATTTGAAAAAGTTTAAGGTCTTTATGGGCAAATGTGCATGACAAAGTTTAAACTCAGAGATCCTGATAAACAAATGACGGGAATAAATACAATATCCGGCAATTAAATGCTGTATTTTTCTTTTTTTTGTATGTTTGTGCTAAACAAATGTGTTCACACATCAGTTAGAAAAGAATATACTATTTTTTTTTTCTATAAAACTGTTTTAAACCCAAAAATCGTTAGTGATTAATTAAAAACACACAAAATAAAATCATAAAATTTCACAAATATTCATATCTTTTCAGGTTCAGGTAATTGACTCATTAATCCCAATTATTAGCTAATTTTTATCTCTTTTATACGTCTGAAAAAGAATACAGAGATTTTCAATCTTCGTATTGAATTATTTACTCTATTTAACAGGTTTCTTGCTTATCCAGACTGATTAATTTTTTACCTAGTTCCAATTTAATTCTTTTTTGGGAAAAAATCAAATTGATGCAAATAAAGAAAGCTGATCCTGAATTTTATGAAAGATTTTATGAAAAAACATCACTAAACACACACACACATTTATACATTAATATATATCTATACATATGGCTTGAATATATTTATTATAGATGATATTAAATTGTTTAACACTACCTTTCAATTAAGTAGCATTTAGAATAGTTTTCCATCTAAATTAGCCTTTTATATGTAATTTGAATATAATATATATATTTACATTTTTATTTACATTTATTTTTGATTATGTGGGATTTTGACAGCTCCAGTTCTTCATGCATGATCTGGGTTAAAAAAACAAACAAAAAAACTTGCCTTCATTTGCATATTTTCTGTTTCCTTTTGCAAACAAATCAGACCGTTAACGTTCCAGACTGTCGCTCTGCTCTAATAAAACCCATATTTTCTGACAAAAATCATTCTTAAAGTAGCTTGAAAACTTCATGCCATCTAATTAACTCATTGGCTGCCAAAGACGTCTATAGACGTCAATTCAAATACAACCGTTGACTGCCAAAGACGTCTATAGACGTCTTTTATGTTTTTCAACGAGAGTGTCTGGGGGACGATCTGCTAAAGCTTGTCCGTAAATATCGGCTTCTAGACAGAGTATGTAGTAACAAATTGACCCTCTAGGGGGCAGTGCCACTTTTGATGGGAGATGAGCATAGACTGTAGACAAATAAGAAAAAGCTAACGGTTCTATAAGAGAACATGTCGCCGGTGAGACGCAAGTCCAGGAAGAAGGGAATAAGGTAGAAACAAAAAAATGTTCCTGATGAAAGAAGAGAGTTTACTCTTTCTTTTTGTGTGTTCGGTGTTTACATAGTCATAGCACAAACTATTCTGTGG